GAAGCTGTGGAAAGGAGTAAAGGCAAGTACCAAAGCACATACTTCTGTGCTTGTAACTCTGCTGCCACAGATTGAAGAGACGCCTGACCTCGAGTCGTGTCTCAGTTCAGACCTCCTCTGGAGTTTTAGGCTCCTTTGTGACCCTAGATCAGATGCACCTCTCCTTAGGTGCACAGCTGAGCCGGACTGTCCCTCTCAGTGGACAGTGTTGGTATCTTTAGGGGATGTAAGTGTCCAAGCGGTACTGTGAATCTTGCTTCAAAAATAAATAGGCTCTAAAAGTAGAATCCCCCTCTCTCCAGAAATCAGATGTCTAAACCAGGAAGGAAGACACATCTGGGTACACTAACACTGTAATGGGGACTTGAGTTCATGCTCCGTGCTAAATGGTGTGCCTGATTCAAGTGTCACTCAGTTGTTGGTAACAAGCATATGGACAGATGCTCTCTGCGCTTAGCTGCTACCCTAAGTACTGTTGCTTTACTATGGCATTCTGCACTGGATTGCTAGCTTAACAGCTAGCATAGCTATAATGCTCCTGACACGCACATCAGCTTCCACCATGCAGAGCCTTTTTCTCTTTGAGGATCTAGCCCAAAATACCCTGTGGATTTAGCCTATGTCCATTGAATCCGATTTTCCCTTTCTATATGAGTTTATTGCTATGTTCTTAAATTACATGAAAGTAAGTATGTAGAAAAGATATCCCATCCTAACTGGTCTTTATTCAAGTCATCACAACTTCCTCCTATGATAAGTCCCTTTTATTGTTCTTGAGACTGGCTCGTGCACAGCACTCGGACAAAGGCAATGCACCCGAATGAACTATGTATGATTTCCAAACGTGTTGATGCAATATGGAAGGAGATGACCCACTCTTGCATAGGGACCCACTCTTGTTTAGAGCACACATCTAGAAGGTTTTGAGCTGTCTCAGCTTTTATAAGGGCATTCAGTCCTATGCAAACCAGCAGAAAGACAAGTTTTTTTGATACATGGTTTTTAACACCGATGATAGAAGGGCAGCCTTGCAAATGAGGATTTAAATGATGCCAGGAAGCCAGCTAACATATGGGTAGTGTATCAAAGAAAGGAAGAAAGAGAAATAATCAGGAAAAGAAAAATAGATACAGTTTACATACAACAAATGCAAAAAATATTGCTGGTGCCAAATTAAGAATAAATTCAGAGTTCTGAAATATAATACTCTAAGAAAATAAAGTTATTGGAGACCTTTGCAAAGGACTTCAGGAAAAGCTATATGAAGAATGTAAAGCAGTGCAGAAGAGATGTAAAGAAATGGTACTGAATTAAAAAGGCTAATTGCTAATGCTGTAATGTGATCAAATCTGTTCTGAATTTCTTGAACATTTTAATACTTAATAGTACACTGTTAAAGAGCTGTTTGGAGATTTAACCCCATGACTCTCAATTAGTCATGGAGCTGTAGACAAGACAAGTTGAGCAAAACTCTTTCAAGATTCATGTATCCATTTACCCCAAAGGGCACATATACCAATAACACAGACATTTATGACAGACTAAGAAAACCCAGAGCATACCACTTGAATTGTTAAAAAGACTGAAGCTGTCAAAAGAGCTGTCTGTGCCTCCTAGACCATCTGAGGCCATGATACCTATGTATGCTTCACTGTATCGGGTATATTTATCTGACTGTGTGGTACATCAAACCTTTATAATGTATGTCTAACCTCAGTGAAGTCTTTTCCATTGTTCCTGTTTTAAGGAAATGCATAAACTTTGCTGGTGCTGATAAGAAAATTTTCAACTTTTATAGTCTCTGCTTTAATGTTACTCTAAGACTTTCTGTGTGTCTTTGCCAAAGATGTAGAAATGCACAATTAAATATAAGCTCTAGCCATATTCTGCTCAACCTATTATGGCAACAATTTCACAGATTTATGGGTTTACAAGCTTATCAAATAGAAAAAGGTGGAGGAGACAGGGAAAAAACCCCATTGTTTAAAAAAAAAGTTAACGTGCTAAGAAATACAGAAGACAGGTGATGACATATCCCAGCTGATATTTTCTCCAGTCTGGAAGATGCCAAATGTAAATGAGGTTTGTGCTCTCAAAAGAGTACTAATTATGAAACAAGAACCTGTAACCAAGTACTATATATAAATAATCTCAAAAGTCTTCTGATTTATTTCTGTGGAATAGCTTTACAGCAATAGAGCACTGGCAGGTCACAAAACCATTAGGGTGACACATGGACACATAATAAATACTATTCCCTATCATATTTCCAATAAAAGGTTTAAGTATTGAGGTGTACACGAAGTTCCAAATGTTGACTGCAGCAGATTGAGCTAAGAGGTCTGGGAACCACATATTCCACTTCCAACAAGGTATAGATTTAACAAGAATTTAACGTTCCTTAGTAGATAGTTCTTCCAAAATTAGTCTAATTAATCTGTTAAGTAGATTAATCTAACTCCCGCTTAAGATTTTTTTTTGACCATTAAACCACGGGGATTGCTCTTCCCTGGTATTACCTTCAACAGCAACTGCTTAGACGGGGCATTTCAGAGGATAAATCCACCCACAGAAAATTGTGGCTTATTTTCTAGAAAATTACTCAATTTACTTCTTAATTATGACTGCAGCTTACAGTGCCTAGATTGTTAATTATTTAAATAATCAGTAATCCTTAACACTTACTGTGAAGCAAAAGAAAGAAACAACACATCTTTCCAGATTTCTGTTCTTCTGACAAATGCATTATTCTGGATTTCTGAGTGTTTGTGAAAAACTGCTCAATTCCAAACTGACAAGACCTTTTGTCTATTTAGGATTTTGTTATGGGTCTCTCAATTTTACTCCGAGGGACAGTACAGGAGAAACTGAACTGGGCTTTCAATTTGTATGATATAAATAAGGATGGATATATAACTAAAGAGGTAAGGTCTACTTTTCACATGAATCACTGAAACTAAATGTTGTGTATGTAAGTCCTGCTTTCAAAGAAGAATGGTTTCATTCTCAAATTAGAAATGTTAATAAATAAACATATAACTATTATGAAACTAGACATGCTAAAAATAAAGTAATTTCTCATTTTAAAGGTATATATAAAAATTTAAAAGGAAAAATCTTCACAGAAATTGTAAAAGGTCAGAATTCTGAATCTACAGAAACATTTGGCTTCAGCTTATGGCTATGTATTGGCACATGCAGTCACTAGAACAAAGTAGTTCAGTAGGATATTTGGACAAACACGAATTAAGTAAGTGGGCCACAATTGTTACTCATTTTATAAATCTACTTCTAAAAATTTTTGCTCGAAACAGAATTTTTATAAAAAGATTCCTACATCTTTCACTCTGCAAGGATTTAAACACATACTTAAATTACAGTGGGACCAAATAAGTGCCTTCATAAAAATATATGTTTTTTCAAAATTGGGTCTTTATGTAAATATATATATATATTACACTTATCATTTTACACTTGTAGAAAAACACTTTGTGATTATTATAAAAAGGAGATCTATAGAATAATTTCTTAGCATGCTGGCAGATTACGTTTTTTAAATTATTATTCTTACACTTTTCACAAGCCACTCTATTAAAAAAATCCAGAGCTTTTGATATAAAAGGAGGAGTCTTTGCATATGTGCAGGTGTGTGCATGGGTGTTTCTATTTTCTCTAGGGAAAACTCAATTGTAAGAAGCTGACGTGCTTTGACCATTCACTTGCTGTTACAGAACTTCTTTTCCCGTTTAGTTTTATTCACAAGACCTCAGGAAATTCTTTACACAATCCATGAACTTGCACATATTCTGAATCATTTAAAATCAAAATCATACATCTGCATCTATTTAAAAAGTTTATCTATGAAAGCTGAACTAACATGCTAGAATTTCTAGGAATATTGTAGTTCCTTCTTGAAGCTGTTCAGTCATAAAATAAGAGGCACAATCTCAAAATTTTTTGTAACATGTAAATCCTAAAAATCATTTATGTGTTCTGAGTCCAAGCAGTGTCTACAATGTACTTTACATTACACAGACATATTTTTTTTTTCTTCAGGAAATGCTTGATATCATGAAAGCAATATATGATATGATGGGGAAATGCACCTATCCTGTTCTCAAGGAGGATGCACCTAGACAACATGTGGAAACATTTTTCCAGGTGGGTCAGGTAACATAGGGAGCCAAAAAGACTCCTCTGTTACAGGTATGGAAAGATTTTCATCGTTGGAACAGTTTTGCATATCCTGACAATTTTGTAATCCTTTTTCTTCGCTGTGGTTCCACCCCACATTTCTCAGATCTACTCATTACACCATGCTTTTTCAACTATAAGCTCCTTAAGCTTATTCTAGTATATAACTTAGTACAATTTTACAGCATTTTGGCCTGGTTGTTCCTAGGCTGATGCATAACTGAAATTAATAATAAAAAGGACTTGTTTTACACAGGATTTCAGGAGGATAAACATACATTCTTATTCTTTCTGAACAGAAAATGGACAAAAACAAAGATGGAGTAGTTACCATAGATGAATTCATCGAGAGCTGCCAGAAAGTAAGTACCCAGTGATAAGTATTGAACCTGTATCTGTTGGCTAATGCTATCCTAGTGCTACAGAGATTTCTGGAGTGACAGTGATGGTAAGCCTAATACCAGGGACAGCATTTTCCCAAGGTAGAGTATGTATGTACACAAAACAACTAAAAATGTAAATAAATTTGTGACCTGAATCTGTAGTAGACATGTTATATACAAGCTGTCATTGCTTATTAGAAAACTGTGTCTGCATCCCCTCTCTCTTTTAACAGCATTTTGTTTTTATTTGACAGCAAAAAGTTTCTTCACATTCAGCTAGATATTTATTTCTATCTTCTGCCCATGCTGGGGAACACATTCCTGTTACAACTGGCATCTAGTCATAGCAATAATAATAATATTGCTTGAAAATTTATTATCTATAGGATTGTTCCTCAAACAGCGAGTCATGACCTGCTGGAGACCTTAGAAGGGAGAGTGTAAGGAGCTTGCAAAGTGTCAGATGGCAGGAGTTAACAGCAGGCAAGTTTTCTCAAGGCAAGGGAGTGAGAACTGATTGTGATTATCAATTGCAAGTGTTTACACTGCCCAGGTGGCTGTTAATTTCCTTTAATGGCTGAAAGCAGCTCATTGCCTCTTGAGCCAGGAATGA